TAACAGCTAAAGTCTTCATTTTTTTCGGAGACACTTTAGTATCAAAAATTGGACAGACTAGAAATAGGGGGGGCACCTAAAAAAATTAATTTATCTGGGAAACTATTATAGATGATATTTAAAAATGTAGCATAAAGACCTTTAGCATCCATGAGAATATATAGGAGAAAAATAGGCGGTCTTGGCACCTCCCTTGCGGATTGAATACAAAAATGTATATATCTGGGAAACTGTTACAGCAGTTAGAGTTAGAGAGGATAGCAAAGCACACTTGGTATAGCTAGTTTCTTTATAAATATTATTTATAATACTCTAATCTTTTCAAGGGAAACTTACAAGGACTAAACTTCAATTATTAATCGATTTTTATAAAATGTTACAAATAAATATAAATTAATTATGATAAAGGTTAGAGAGTAATTATTTTAATTTTCGTGCAAATAATATGAGTATCAAGCATTATCACATACCAATTTCAATCATTAACAAAATTATACTCAAAACAACAATATGTATATGTTAATAGTAAAATAACTTAATTTTTCTTCGTTCTACTCAACACAATATTTCCGTGATCAGCGATAAATTCCCCTACATTTTGCAAAATATGTTTTTTATTCACTTGTTTCTTACCATTCTTTTCTTCTGCTTTATATTGTCAGTCATAGTCATCCTTTATGTCAAAAAATCAAGATAATATACATTTATTTTTGTTTTCAAACAACCACAAAAAAATGCCGCCTTTTTCTGTTATAGATACCGTCAGTCAAGTCACTCATACTTGTATGTATTATGCCCACATATGGCGCAGAAGTGTGTTACAATTTATCATAATTTTTCTATAGGGAAGCAAAACATAGACAAACATACATACATACAATTCTTTGACTTTTTGTTCAACATGTTGTAAGTATCTATGAGTACGTGTATGTTTATTATGTTTAAGGGAACAACATAAAACTACATGGTATCAGTAGTAGTAGTTGTGTTCGTTTTTTTGTCGTTTACCCTCCTTGTCGTTGCGGTAACATTAACAGCCACTTATATGAATAATTATATTTTAAAGAGGCTGTAAATTTACACCTAATTATAAATTATTTGCTGGATTTTTTTCTTAGTGTTTTTTTAAGCAAACTACTCGTGTATACATTTTTATTTAAGGCATAATTTTATGAGTCGTTTACCATCAAAAAGAAAATAATTTTGTAATAGGGGAATTTAAATGTAACTTTTATAGGCTTAAAATGTAATTTTTTGCTTTCAAAATATTTCGGATTTTTTTCAAATTGATTAATGACAATTTTATGAGATTTTTGAGAAAACTTAATAGTTCTGAGAAAATTTGTAAAATGCCACTTTAGTTAAGCATTTGGGGTTAGAAAATTATAACTTTTAATGAGAAATAACTAAACCAGCTATGTAGTTAAAAAAATTTATAATATTTATAAAATATAATTTTGTTTAAGTTATAAAAAATTTAAAATCACTTACATATGGGCAATTCCATGAAAAGGTAAACCACGACTGAAAAAATAAAACCCTTATAACTTCTGCATTTTTAAAGATAATTCAACAAAAAAATCGGTCTATTTTTACACCTCGCCGCCATACAAACGGAACCGAAAATATCACTTTTTAGCTCATAATTCTGTTAATTATAATACTATCCCTTCAAAAATCGGCAGATCTAAAATGTTTGTAAGACTAAACCTTTATGCTGATTTTCATAACGATTGGACCTCATTTGGGCCTAGTTCCATGCAAAGTTTAATTTCAGAAAAACACTTAAACGTCCGTAACTCACCTCTTATCACTAGTATTATGATAAAATATGGCACAAATAAGTTTTATATGAATTAAAATCACACTCTAGAATTTTATATATGACCCTAGTCGCCATATAACTCCAGTTTTTTCTTTTTATCTATAAATTGCATAAACATGTATATAGGTCGGCCATGTCCGACTGCACTTTCCTACTCCTTTTGATTTGTTGAAGTGTGTGTATGCATATATTTCCAAAATATATATTTTATAACCTAAAAAAAATCAGGAGAAAAATCTGTCACATACGATGTGTCACGTACGATATTTAAATATGTTCATTATAAAATTATATTAATTTCTTTTTTTATTTAAAAATTATGGATTACTAATGAAAAATATGTCACATAGTGTAAGAAATTAAAACAAAAAAGATACACTTACAGAATTCGCAGATTTTCGTAAATATTTAAATGTACTTTAAAAATACTTCCGAGTTTGATATCGCCATATTTTAATCCATATTTTGGAAAACAAGGTTCCGAGTGGGATGATTCCTTTTGCAAATATAGTATTCTCTAAATGGAACAGAATGACAAACTTGTTTTCCAAGTACTCCTAATTTTACAAAATCTATACCACTGTAAATATGTACTTTAATTTAAATTTCTGTTCTAATTCCTAAATCAAATTGGTTTGTCAAATCTCTATCTTTGTAAAATTTGATATTAATTGAAAATTAAATTATGAAAAATTGATTTACAATCAATTAAATAACCATTAGCTTAATACTACAGACATTATCAGCATTTGACAGTCAATTGATGACAATAAAGTGACAACTTTATAACAAACAACCCATACAAACTGAAGTATTATCTAGCATACCATTAAACCATTAATAATGACATAAAAATTTTCCTCCTTTAGACTTTTACAGACAGTTGAATGGGCAGACACACAGTAAGTGAAAAGAAAGGTCAGATCATATACATATGGCCTGTAAAACAATACAAGTTTTATATCAAACAGAAATACACAACACAAAACGTAAATCATTATTTTATGGCTTTTTAATGTGTTATTAGGAAATGTAAAAGCATTTAACCCTTAGAAGACAAAATGGGTCACAAAGGGGACATAAACTATTTATATGTACAAAAAAGGATTTTACTTAAATTATAAACGGATATTTCCATAAAAAATTATGTTGGTTAGTTTGAAAGGAGAATGTCTATTACATCCGAAGAAATAAACCTACACAGAGGAAAAACAAGTAAGAAATTATAGTCGGGCGAGGCCGACCATATAATACCCTACACCTGTTACAAAAATAAAATATGATTTAGTTTTCATAATGAAGCATTTAAGTCGAATTTTACCTTGTCTCAGATATACTTAAGCCATTTATTCTGGAATAAAATTGTGGCATTTAAGTCAAATTTTGAAGGAGGCTTTTTATAGGGGCTAGGGTCAAATGAGGCTCTATAATTATAAAATTCACGTGGGTTATTAAGGCTAATATAGAAGTTGGTTTTACAGCTTTTTGTCGAGATAGGAGTATATTAAACATAATTCTATTCGCAGGTTCAGTTGTATGGGGGCTAAGTGAAATAATGGACCGATGTTAACCATTTTCAATACGCTTCGTTTCCGGTACCACAGAAGATCATGCACCAAATTTCATTGAATTATCTTCAAAATTGTGACCTGTAGTTTGATTACAAGGTTTACAAGCCCTATTCCGTTCAGTTGTATAGGGGCTAGGTGAAATAATGGACCGATCTTAACCATTTTCAATAGGCTTCGTCCCTGCAACAATAGAAGATCATGTACCAATTTTCATTGAATTATCTTCAAAATTGCGACCTGTAGTTTGATTAAAAGGTTTACATGGACGGACGGACGGACAGACGGACGGACATAGCTAAATCGACTCAGAAAATGAGTCTAAGCCGATTGGTATACTATACTTTAAGGTGGGTATAGGACCAATATTATTGTGCTTTACAAACATCAGCACAAACCCAATATACCCTCCCCACTAAAGTGGTGTAGGGTATAAAAATATACACGCCTGGTACCAAATTGACACCAAATTTTTCAATAACATCCATTGTCAAGTATAAACATACAACAACTACATGTAATGTAGACCACACAACTTTGTCAACATTGCAACAATTCGTTGTCACAATCTAAACTTTCTGCACATCCGTTGTCTAACTGTTAACAAACGTGGTAAGCTCACTATTTATAACGCATTTTGAGCTTACCAAGTTTGTTAACTTTTCAATTACGGATGTGCATAAAGCTTAGATTGCGACAACGAATTGTTGTAATGTTGACAAAGTTGCGTGGTCTACAATTCATGTTGTTGTTGTTGTATGTATATACTTGACAACGGATGTTATTGAAAAATTTGGTGTCAATTTGGTACCAGGCGTGTATATTTTTTCCTCTGTGTAGGCTGCTGTGAGTTTTTTTACCAGAATCTCTGGATTGACAAACATGAACACTACCAACTGACTTACCGGCGGCACCCGGCACACTATCAACTAACCTAATGGAGGCACCCATAGATAATATAATAATGACACGGATTACAAAATTTTATGGGTGGAACTATATAGGGCTACTCTTTTAAAATATATTCATAGCTGATGTAGGTTATTGTATGGTCAATCAGGCCCATTTAATATTTCACAAGTGACTATAAAAGTCACAAACGATTTCGGTCATTAGAGGGTTAATTTGTTAAAGTGACAACTATGACATGTGAACAAATGTGTAAATCAAAATTTCTTGTTGTGGCTAAATATAAACATACTTAAATAAATATAATGCACATGTATTAACAAATCATAGGAATTTTAATCTAAAACTATTAAAATCTCAGTTTAAAAAGCCTTTTTATGATTTTCATTTCCCCAAAGACATAAACCTATAAAAATCATTTTAAAATTTTTGGCAATTTAATGACACATAAATTAAAATCTTTCCAACAACCACAAATTGTATTTCCTAGAAAATACTCATTCTCAAAGTAAATTTGAAAAAGAGTTTTTGCTACCATCTTACATAAATATGTATTCAATGATAAATATTTTTCTAGAAAACTTTGCAAGATTTTTTTTTGGGACATTATGTATATCATTAAATGTAGCCTTATGTATTCATATGTATGTATGTGCTTGAATACTAAATCCTTATCTACTCTTTTTATTCATTTACAGACGATACATTTTCAAATGAATTTACTTCAACGTCGGCAAATGGTATTATATCTGACCATACATCGTCTTCACCACATTCTGGCCGCAAACCACGTCGAAATCGTACCACTTTCTCTTCGGGACAATTAACAGCATTGGAAAAGGTGTTTGAACGTACCCACTATCCCGATGCTTTTGTGCGTGAAGAATTGGCCACTAAAGTGGGTTTGAGTGAGGCGCGCGTACAAGTATGGTTTCAAAATCGTCGTGCTAAATTTAGACGTAATGAACGCAGTTCAACCACTGGACGACCTTTAATTACAACCACCCCACAACCCGTGCCACCCATAACTACGGCCCATAAGTTTTCGCCCGATAAAAGTGCTGTGTTTTTGCAACAGCAAATGGATTTGTCACATCCTCATCATCCACATCATCATGCTGCTGCTGCCGCTGCAGCATATTCGTTAAGTTTTCCCTCGTTGGGAATGTATGCGTCAACAAAAAATTATGTTAATTCATCGTACAATACATTTGCAGCAACAGCTAATGGCAGTTCAACAAATGAAGGATTAACAGGTCCTTGTGGTTTTTTCGCTTCGTCTAATTATTGTGCACCCAGCTATCAACCAAATTATTCAGCATTAAGATATAAAAGTGCTCAAGGTTTTTCTGGTTTATGAGAAAAAAAAAAAACTTAAATACGAATTTACGAAAAAGAAAATACTTCAACTTTTTAGATTTTATATAAAAAGTGCAATTTAGTCAAATTTTTAAATTAAAATAAAGTATATTTATTACAAACAAATTATATACATATGTGTAACAGATATATCTTATTTGTGTAACATATAAAAATCGCTATAGCGGAACAAGTTCAAAAATAAGAAGTAAGAGTATATATTCGCCGAGATTTTTGTTCTTATAGAACCTGTTTATGTCGAATTTCGCTATACTGTTACTATTAATTGTGAGCGTCTAAGTTATATAAGGGGACCTCATTTGGGTGTTATGGTCAATTATGAACCGATCGTTATAAAATTTGATAAAGATTTTTGTTTGTATAAAACTTGTTTTTGTCGAATGTCGTCACTATACTGCTATTTAAAGCCAGTTTTTTGCGCTAAGGTCATTTTATAAAGGAGGTCCCATATGGGGTGTAGGATCAGTTATTAGCCGATCTATATACAATTTTATAGAGATTTTTAATCCTTTAAAATTTATTTGTGTCGAATTTCGTCTCTATACAGTTATTATTAACCCGATTATGGGGATTAAAATAATTTTTGAAGGGGGTGTATGGTCAATTATTAGCCGATCCTTATGACTTGAGATTTGTTTATGAATGTCAAATTTGGTCACTACACTGCTATTGTTAAGCTATTATATATATATTATATTATGAGCTTTAAAGACATTTTCTGAAGGAGACCTTATATGGCGGGTAGGGTTAATTATGATCCGATGTCAATATATCACAATATAATTTCTGGATGCATAAAACTAACTTGTACCAAATTTTATCACGATTGCTTTGTAATTAACTTATTTATGAATATTTAAACTATACTCCGGGAATCAACTTGAATAGGTGCAAGATGAAATCTTGGGACAATCATGTTCATTTCCAATAGCAAACAAATCGAGAATATCTGAGCGAAATTTCAATCCTCTAGCTCCTTTCTTGTGGTCTCTATTGTGCTTTCAACATACAGACGGACGGACATGGCCAAATGGTCTAAGAATTTTATAAGTCCCAGAATATTTCTTTTAGAAAAAGCTCGAAGCAATTTTAGTAACTACTTAGAAAATATACACTTTTCAAACTTTTAAACTCTTAGTTATGTAACTCTTTTGTGGAACCAACACAGGAACCAACACTCTTAAATTAACGTTCGTAACTGTTTAAGATTAAACCGAGCTCCTAATCCGATAATAGTCGATATTTTTTCAACACTTTTATTCTGACTTCCATTTCTTTATGGGTTTTACGATATACGCGTCTTGACTATAAATTTCAGTTTTTAGCCGATTTGCCGGATACATTCACATAAAGACCTTAAGTAGTTTTCTAGATATATTACGTTGGGAAGAGAGTGTGCAAAAATCCACCTACTACCAACCTGATGATTGTGGGTCAATGACGCTTTTAGATTTTGCATAATATCTCGGTAGTTCTTGAGGAAAATTAAATAAAATTTTGTGTGTGTATTAAAAAGGAAGAAGTACCCATTAGTTGGGATGAAACAACAACAACTCTTAATGGCAGAATGAATTTATTAATCTAATTATTGAAATCATAAAACAAACATCCCACATTTCTCGAGTTATAAGATTTCAAACTTTGTCTTGAAGAACAACTAAGATGTCTGTAATATCTCGGTTGTTCTTCAAGATAATTCAATGAAATGTTGTGTGTGTGTAAAGAAGAAAATGTTGCATAACTTTTAAAAAATTACAAGTTAGAGTGCTTTATTCGGCTGAGATGTATCTTAAATATCCTATTTTGTATAGATATAATTATGAGGTAATGTGTTTTCGAGAGGCGACCTCATATATAAAAACAATATTTTTACCAAATTTTGTATCTATATCATTTGTAATGACAATATGCCTTTAAGCAATTTTCAAAAGGGTAGCTTGTATCGGACCTATCAGCAATTATAGACCGATCGTGAAAAATTTTAAAAAGCTTTATTTGTGCCAAATTATATATGGATAGCATTATTTTGTAATGGGTATTTTTTTGATTTTTGGGAGGGGACCTTGTATGAGAGCTATTGCCAATTATGGATCGATGCAGAAAAAAAATTTTTTTTCATATGAATTCCATTTATATAAATTTCAAATTTGTGAAATTTTGTAGATTCTGAAAGAAGTTATTAACAATAAATTAATTTTCGGGGAATATGTACATTTTTAAGGCAGGTATAGGAATTTTTGGACCGATTTCGACACTTTCCACAGCGATCAAGTTTTCGTAGAGAAACAAATGTGTGGACAGACAGAATTTATGAAAAAAAGGACCGAAGGACAGACGGATATAGTTAAATCAACCAGTACCAATCATTTACATACATATATACTTTCTTGAGTCTTTTTTGAGAATGACAAACTTATATATACCATCTAACACTATTGATGGTGGTGGTGGGTATAAAAATTGCCACGACCACTATTCGGTATGAAAAATAGGCGTAAAAATGTGTATTTGCCATTTTCGACTACTTCGAAGGAATTTAATAAACTAATAGCTGAAGTCCTAACTTTTCATCTGATATAACTATTTTCGCATAAATATCCATGGAAAGTTTACGAATTTTGTACGAGGTGGAACTTAGAACCAATAAACCTTCACATCCTTCGAAACATGATTTTGTAGACTCCTTCAGCGGGAGTTGTTGAAAGAAAAACTGTACAATTAAAAGTTTTTAATTATTTCAACCAGGGAGTTTGATCTTCAAATAGGTAACACTTTAAATTTTTATTGTTTTTTTTTTCTAAATTTTGTTTTATCGTATAAAACGCAAATAAATAATATTCACCATCAAATAGAATAAAATACAAGGAATTTCACTTACCTTTTATTAATCTAAATAAACTTTTGAAATGAAACACATAAATATTTTTATTTACACATATAATAGAGAGAAAGATAGTAGTAAATCTTTTTTGTGTTATTTTATTAATATGATTTTTCTTTTCATCATCAACATAAATTTCTAAATTTATTAGTTTTTTTTTTGTTATTATTATTTTATTCAAATTTACATTTTTATCATGACTCTAATTCAAATAGTTTAATGTACAATATAATTATTATTTTTTTTTTTTTGTAATTATAATAAACTTAACTTTAGTTGTTTTCTAACAATTTGCTTGTTTTGTTGTTTTATGTTTTTTAATACCTTTATTTTGTTTATGTTTTAATAAAATATGCTAATATGTATATTTATATGTTGTATTTTGTTAATTAAATGGTAATATGCGTATTTTCTCTTTTTCCCCTTTTTTTATTTTACTACTCAAACTTAATTGGCGTTTTTTTTACAAAAAGAGCATAATCAACCAAAAATGTGGTTGATTTTTGGTTTTTTAGTTTTGCATTTAATTCTAAAAATATTGTTTATAAACAATAAACCGAATGTTTTTTAAACATTTATTACATTTGTAGTTTTACATGTTTTTGTATTAAGTTTTCAAGTTAGTTAGTTTTTGCTTTTTCATTTTTTTATCATTAAGGTACAGTGGGCTCAAGAGGTAAATTTTATTTAAAGGACAAACATTTTCTTTTTGATATTAATTAGAGTTTTTTTACACATCTACAATACTTTAAACAAGGAAATTTTATGAATGTGTTTTTTGTTGTTTTAAACTGTGACAAAATAATTTTATAATTGCTTAAGTGTTTTGCGAAATTCTTTAAAAAGGGACTTAGCTCATTTACTAAATATAAACTAATATTATAAACATACACAGAGGGAAAAAGAAATATACATGCCTGGTACCAAATTGACACCAAACTGTTTATAATTTTTCAATACCATCCGTTGTCAAAGTATATACATACGTACGACAACACCATGTAATGTTGACAACATTACAACAATTCGTTATCGAAATCTAAATTTTATACACATCCGTTGTCTAAATGTTAGCAACGTGGTAAGCTCACTATTGACACACAATCCGTTGCCAATCGTGAGCTTACCACGTTTGTTAACATTTAGACAACGGATGTGTATAAAATTTAGATTCCGATAACGAATTGTTGCAATGTTGACAACGTTGCATTACACAGTGTTGTCGTACGTATGTATACATTTTGACAACTGATGTTATTAAAAAATTATAAACTCTTTGGTGTCAATTTGGTACCAGGTACGTATATATGTAAAACAAGTAAGAAATTATAGTCGGACGAGGCCGACCATATAATACCCCACACCAGTTATAAAAGCATTTAAGTTGAATTGTACCTTGCCTCAGATATACTTAAGACATTTATTGTTGAATAAAATTGAGGACATTTAAGTCATATTTTGAAGGGGGCTTTGTGTAGGGGCTAGGGTCAAATGAGGCCCTATAATTATAAAATTCATGAGGGTCATCAAGGCCAGTATAGAACTTGGTTTTTCAGCTTTTTTGTCGAGATACGAGTACATTAAATATAATTATAAACTTTAAAGATCTTTTCGGCGGGTTCAGTTGCATGGGGTCTAGGTAAAATAATGGACCTATGTTAACCATTTTCCATAAGCTTCGTCTCTGCCAAATTTCATTGAATTATCTTTTAAATTGCGATCTGTAGTTTGATTACAAGGTATACATGGACGGACGGACGGTCAGGCAGACTGACAGACAGACAGACGGATGGATAGACGGACATAGCTAAATCGACACAGAAAATGATTCTAAGCCGATTGGTATACTTTAAGGTGGGTATAGGACCAATATTATTGTGCGTTACAAACATGAGCACAAAACCAATATACCCTCCCCAATAAAGTGGTGTAGGGTATAGTAAAAGACTGTTTAATAGACACTGGTTTGTAGTTTAATTAACTCATATTGAAAAATTTTATGTTATTGATTTTGAAAATATGCCAAATGGAAATTTTTTTTAAAAAAGTTGTATTTCAAAAGTCATGAAAAAATGGCAAGTAGAAAATAAAGAAAATTTTTGTTGTTTAAAGTATAGTAGTGTTAGAAATTTAATATTTTCAATATTTGATTGTTAAGAACATTAAATATGATTATAATAATTTTGTTGTTATTTATTTACGTTTAAAGATTTATAATCCGTAAGATATTAGAAAAATATATACTTATGTATGTTTGTTGATATTATAAATATGTTTTAATTTGCTTTAGTTTGGTAATGGACTATTTAAACAACATTTATAATATAAATACGATTTAAGGACAATTATAGAAATAAACACAATTACAAAATTAGAAAAGGAAATTTTTGGTATTGTCTTGGTTTTATTTAAATATATTTTAACGCATTTTCTTTAAATTTCTATACACTGTGCAGTTGTTTTTCAAATAGATTTTTAGTAAATATAAATTTTTAACATTTATAAATATTTTCAGGTAACTATTTATAATTTTTTTTTGTTAATTTTCTAAAAATTTGGCAACATTTTTATATTTATTTTGTATTTATATTTATAATATTTTTTTGTCAAATATGTATATTTGTATATAATTTGGTGGTTATTTAATATTTGTGTGTGAGTGTAAGTTTTCTACAAATTTTTAGTTAACTTTACATTGCATTTGATTGATTCTAAACTGTTATTTATGTTATATTCAATTTTTATTATTTTAATTTAATTTTATTATTCAATGTTTGCAACTTTATTGTTTATTTTGCTTTAATTAATTTTGAGAAAAAGCGAACATTTAAAAAAATTATGAAAAGTTTTCTCTTTGGCTTTGAGTTTTTATTGGGATTTTTTTTTGTTTAACAGTCATTATATCTCTCCATGATCTTGCTACAATCAGCATTTCTTATGTATATTAACAAATTTGTTTTTGTTCCTTTGGTTTTTTGTTTTAAATATTGTTAACAAACATTCACATCGAGATATAAATTTTTTTTCTTTAAGTTTTTTAACAAATGTAAGACATACAAATTTTTTTCAATTATTTCTTTAACTTTTTTTCTGATTGGTAGCAAACATTGAGGTATAAAAAAAATTAGGAATTTTATTTTAGGTTTTTTTTTTTATATTATTGTTTATTTAGTTGCATTTTTAATATTGCTGTTTTGAGAATTTTTTTATTTATAATAAATTTAACAATTAACTGTTTGTTATGGAAACTTGTTATATATTGAAACGGCTCCCTATAAAGAGGCCTTTTGTATGGTATAAAATTATTTCACAGAAGAAAAAAATCAAAATTTTTTTGTGGTAGAGGTGATTTGTAACGATATCGAGCCTGTTAAATATACAACAAGTTCACATTAATACTCTTAATATCATGGGAATGCACAGTGGTTATAATTTCTTTTTTTGCTTTAAAAATTAAGAGGATAATTGCTGTTAAGATTACAATTCAAACTTAGTTTATATGCAAAAAACTGTAATGTAATTACGTTTGGAGCTGAACTATGAACTAGTCTATTTACTAGTCAATAAATGATCTACTTAGTCTACTGACTTGTGTACATACTAGTTTAATGACTAGTCTTTTGACTATTCAATCGACTAGTCTATTAAATAGTCTATTTACTAATCTATTGACTAGCTTTAACAAGTCTGTTGACAAGTTTATTGAATATAGTACCAACTATTATATTGATTAGTCATCCCAATCGGTTATATTTACTACTCTTTTTTTAGTATTTTAACTAGCCTATTGAATAGTCCACTATCAATCTATAGACTGATCTATTAACATTAAAATTCTCATTATAAGTAAACAATTGTAATCTAAATATGTTCAGAGCGTTACTGATATGTGGTCTTAGAATCTTAGACATGGGGTTGAACCAGAGAACCCCATAATCTGGTACCAGGGGAATCGAAAGCCCACAGGGCTTAGTCTCGGTCTTTGTCTTGTCCCATTTATTGGAGAGCTCTATCGTGGTGGCTGTGGTTTAAATCCAAATTCGAGGGAAGATAATGTCGTTTAAAAGACTGATGCACTAAAAAGTCTATAATTCTGGACAACAGATACCCTGCAGAAGAGTTCCTGTCGGACTAGGCTTTGGAAATGATTTGGTGTTAAGTGTATAAGATACGGGTAGGGGTATACACCCGTATATCTAGAGTGAGTGTGTCGGATGTTTTTCTTAATGAGTGTGTCGGATGATTCGGAAGTGTGCTGGGTTGATTGGTTGTTCATACCAGATTTACCACAATGTGTTCTCTGTGAGTAAAAAGTCCTCGGCTTAATTGATGAATTCGTGTTTCGGTCTACCGATAACGTCTCTAGGTGCTGTTACCTACTCAACAGAGGCGTTGGAAATGATTTGGTGGTAAGTGTATAAGATACGGGTAGGGGTATACGGACCATTCCCACCCGTATACCTAGAGAGAGTGTGTCGGATGAATCGGAAGTGTGCTGGGTTGAATGGTGTTCGATGAAAAGTATCTTATACCAGTTATACCATTGAATTTTTCTTCCTTGTTCGGGTATGTTCAGAGTTTACTTTGTTCGTACCAGATTTACCACAATGTGTTCTCTGTCAGTAAAAGAAATCCTCGGCTTAATTGATGGTTTCGTGTTTCGGTCTACCGAATACGTCTCTAGGTGCTGTTGCCGACTCAACAGAGGCATATCGGAAGATAAGGAACGATGCAGCAATGGTCAAAAATTAGATAGCTCGAGTACTTGAGCAAAGTACTTGGACATGGCCAGGCAGATCTATGTATAAAAATTGCCATCGGCGTATAAGTCGTCTAATCCGCTCACCCTATGATTGGAAAAGTACCACCGTGAAATAAGGCCAACACGGCAAGTGTTCACGTAAAGCACTTCGACTTCTTCCTCTCAATCGACTGGTCAAATAACTACTCTATTTTCAAGTATATATAATAGTCTATTTACTACCCAAGGAAAAACATTACTTACCCGGTAACCAGGCAAGTAATGTTGAAGCAAAGATGAAGTTGCTTTTGGGGTGAATAACTAATTATTTTTGTTCGAATACTCTCAAAAAGTAACTAGTTACAAATGTGCTTTACCCGACTTTTCCGGGCTTAAACTCAAAGCTCAATTAATAAGTTATTTTATAGTACTTTCTGAAAAAAAACTACTGATATCAAACTAGGATTCGAACCACAGATGCTCTAGATAATTGGCTATAAATCCCTTTCAAAAAACTTTAATAATGTTATTTTAAGATTTTTGCCAGGACTACATTTACTAGTTAGTTCATCGACTACTCTATTGTCTTGTCTACCATTACTAGTCTATGGACTAATAACCCATATATTGAGTAGTTTTTTAACAAATCAGTGGAGTTACCAATGTACTTGATATTAAACTAGAATACTGGCACCTTTAAGAATTCTACGGTCTAGTCCATTAACTAGTCTATGAACTAATAACCAGTCAATGAACTGGTACAGTAAGATCGGTTCTATCCCTCTTCCATCAGTAGCTTTGTTCTGAATTAGATAATTTCAATTGGCTATTCACCATAACGTATTTTGACAATAAAGGAAATAAATTTTGTGTATGTGATCGTAGAAATTCTTACACTGCAATTCCACATAGTTATTTTTAAAGAACAAAGACAATTACAAACACTGTGCAATTAATAGTGTTTTGGTTCATGTTTATAATTTTACATGCTACTACTATGTATTAATACTAATGTATGTATGTATATGTTTCTTAGAATTAAAAATTGAAACTACAGACATATTAACAATTTTAATGCGATTAAGTTGCTAGTTTTCATGTTTTCATATGATTTTTTTTAACAATAAATTTGTATAATACTAATAGTAAACAACTTTTAATATGATTTTGAAAAATATTCTTTCTTCGTTTCTTATATGAAAAATATGTATTTATGTAGTTTATTCTTATACATTAATTATAAACTAATTTAATTCGTACTTATGTTTTTGTGTTTTTGACTAAACATTTATTATAATGTTTAATTATGCTAAAGCTTTCAATCATTCACATTTATTGCCGGACCCATTTTTATTTTTAATTTAATAGGAAGGATATACACAATATTAAGAAAATAAAATTTGAACTTAACTTACCGCTTAACTTACCCTTAAAAAATTGGTTGAAAAGTAATTGGTTATTAGAGCGAGTGTTAAGATAGTAAAATATTCAAAATTATTTTAATCGAAATAAAGAATTCCCCGGTAATTATTTAACAAATAAATCCTTTAATGTAGAACAAAGTGAAGCATCACAGGTATCCTTGGAATCGTCCTCATCGCCCTTACCGAACCAATTTAAAGTAGAACGTACTGCATTAGCAGCTTGAGCTTGGGGTGTTGTACGTGTGCGTCGTGACGAGCCATAATCTTTGGGTACGGCTCCTTTTGTAGATTTTGAACGAGATGTTGAGGCAGCTTCACTGCCCGAAGGTCCAGAAGCGGAATTTTTACGTAAAAATCCTTCTATGGCTGAGCCAATAACGGTTGCATCTACTATGGTCCCCTTGGTGTGATCCGTCCAACTTTTCTGTTTGCTACGTGGTTTCAATTTAGGTTTACTCTCACGCAATGGATCTTTGGTTTGTAACTTTTCAATCATTTCTTTGGAGAGTGCCATGGCTGTACTCTTACTTCTTATACTCTTTTTGCGTGCCATGGGTTCATGACGCTGGGCAAACCATCCTGAAATAGCAGCTGAACTATTATCCTGAGCATCACTTACCATTTGTTTTGCATTGTTGAGTATGGAGACATCGAAACTGTTCGAACGGGTTGAGCGTCCTGCATTGGGATCTAGGAGATTCGAACTGCTAGCTGCTGTCTGAGTGGTGGTTAAGTTAGTTTTAGACTTAGCTCCTCCTGCCGCAGAAGAAGGAGGTGTGTCTTCACACTTGTGTATTTCAATAGCCGATGATGTTAGGGAACTGAAAATAGAAGTAATATCTGTTCGGCTGCCCAATAAGCCAGTGCCCTTGCTGCGTTTGGTGGACGAACGATTGCTGGTGGGTTGTGTAACACAGGGTGAAATGCTGGCGGGAAGTTCGGAGGCTCTGCGGTAGTTGGGCGATGGTGTAGCTTGACCAGAGACACATTCGGAATAACGACGATTGGTGTAGCGTTGCGGTGTTGTGCCGCCCTCTGTAAGAGTTTCCACTTCACAGACTTTCTCATTGCTCGTTGTCCAAAGTTTCATGCGTGCTTTACGAGATTGTACAATATCATCCATGATGTCCAATTGTAAATTATGTATACTACCTATTGGATCCGTAGATGGTGGACCAGTTGAGGTGTTGCTCTCCCTCCTCGAGTTTAGAATGCGGCTGGTGAGATGGAAAAAAGGTTGAGATATATGAAAATTGGTAATAAAGCCAAATAAAAACCAACCAACCCCCTTCCCCAACTCACTTGTTAGAAGGAAATGCTGCCACCGATTCACGACGAGAACGTCCAAATATCGTTGCTGGCACCTTGGATATAGTAACAACGGAATGTCGTCTACCCGATGGTGCAGGCGCTTGTGAGAGTGTTGCTAGGAAAGCGGCTTCCTTAGGTGAGGGTCCAGAACCCTCTCCACCTCGTTCTGAAAGACGTCTTACCTGACTGGCCGTTATACCCTCGGTAACCTGTTGTGATGGCAGAGAATGCTTACGTGATTCTCTGGGGTCACGCCATGGCGAAAGTAGATATGGATTGACTGGTGAGTCTATGTCCAAGCTGGCTTTATGTGATGGCGTCTCTGAACTTTCCTGATCATCTTCTTCAACTATCTGTGATTCATCGACTACGATTAAGGGCTCATTTTTACCGATAGACCCAAAACGGGATATAGATGAGCGTCTAAAGCGAAAGGTATCTATAAAAAAGTTTTGTGAAAATGACATTTAAAATATGTTCTCTTTCAAATACTGTCCTAGAAAGGAATGAGTAAAGTAATTGTATTCCTAAAAATTTAATTTAAATAACCAAATCTCATCCTATTATTTTGCAAAACAAAGCTACATTTCAAAATAATATAATCGATAATGAGGTACATGAACATGAAGTATTATACTTAAAAAAGCAAGTAAATTTTTCCGAAAATTATAAATCCATCTTAATACACAAAAGTACAAACATACATACATATGTATGTAAATACATAAATCCTAAATTTCCAAAGGAACATACAAACATACTTATGAGCTCTGGATAAATATTTGTATAAAAAGAAATGTTAATCACCCTTAGGAGTAAAATCTTACATTATTAAAATGCAAATGTTTTTGTCTGAGACGTAGTGCATGAAAATACACATGAACTCCTTTATAATCAATCAGTATATCAGAAAATTTTGTTATATTTTTCTTTGTAAGAGGTGCAGTTGTGAAATATAAATACATACATGAAAAATAGTTTGATCTGGATGTTTGAGAACTATAAATTCAAATGTTCTAACAAAATCAACATTATATGCCAACTTTGTTCTAAATTAAAAAAAATTTTTCAACATTTCCCTAATAATTTTTATCAAAAGAGAATGTTATTTAAATTGAATGGCGGACAGAGCTATTGTGACATTGATTTTCATAAATACTCATAAACATATTCAATATTCGCTTTAAAGGGCCCATACGCAACATCAGCATGCTGGCACAATCAAGTGATATATGGTCCGAACATGAAAGCTCAATCAAATTATTGTGCCAGCATGCTGGATGGACCCTTTTATACATACATGTATATCTGTAAGGGGTACAATAACCATACAAATGATGTTTTTCAATAAAGCTACTTATCATTTTAAATAATCCAAAAATTACAAACGTAAAATTTCTATCTTAAACTTTTTCTGTGCAAATCTTTTTGTGACAGGATATTCATAAACGAGCATTTTATTATTATGAAAATTTTTAAATGTACAAATAAAATGCAAATAAAAGTTTAATATAAATTATGACTGACAGAAATCATCAACACGTACTTATTATTTCATGCATTTGCAACAAGTCTGTCATAACTCAAAAATTATGGTTCTGAATAATGATTTTGTTTAAACTCTTTCTATTACACTTTTGAAAATGTTTAGCTAAAGTAATGAAAATAAAAAATATTATATCAAATTTCGTTTACAATTAGGTAATTATACTTCTGCCTTTTTATTGCTTCTGGGATGGTGAAGTAATTGCAACTAAAATACAATCGTCTTTGCCCTAGTCCTGTGAAATTTTGAGTTGGCTAAAGAATTTTGGATAGCTAAGTAAATATTGACAGTTTTATATTATGATATTTTATAAGGGAATAAAAGTCAACGACGTCGTGTAAATCAAATGAGATATTGGAGGTTAAAGGTCACATAATTATAACATTTATACAAATATTGTGATAACTTAACTTTTAGCCATTAGATGTGGGCATACACTCATATTTATACCTCACATATTAGAATTAAGTACCATTTGAAGAAAGCAAAAGTATCAAAAGTGGAAAGATAATGGAAAGTACTAATAAAAATAGTAAAATTTTTCCCCTTTTCGCTTAGAAATATACTTTTTTGAGAATTAAGTTAATAAAATGTTCGGTATTTAAATCTCTATATCACACATAAAACTCAAACGATTCAAATATTTCATTCATTTCGAAAAATTTTGCTTTCAAAAAGTACCAAACAATTTACTCGAATTTGGTTCGATATAGGCCTTAGTACTCGAATTCCAAAATAATATACCAACAGCTTATTTTGTGTAAGTAAATAAACTACTTTTTCAAATTTTATAAAAATTGAGTTTGAATAAAATTAAATTTCCCGTTTTTGCCCTTTTTGGTACTTTTTTCGCCAGTGTAATAGCAAAAATTTTGTTTCAACAAATATTACAGAGTTAGTCCGTAATTTAATAGGAATACTTTAATAAATCGAAAAAATTCTCTTAATGTGCTAAAAAAAAGTGCCAAAAATACAGTTTTCTCCCTTTTACACCCAAAAAGGGCTGAATTTTAAAAAAGTGCGAAACAGGTGTCTCCTAATTTTGGGAGATATATTCAAAATATTTACAAAAATGTTATTTTGTTTATTAGTAAAAAAGTTATAAAGGGCCAAAAAAGGTACCAAAATCACCTTTGTTACACATTCTCACCCCTTAAAAGTACGAATTTCCAAAAAGTACCAGACACCCATCTGCTTATTTTAGGAGTAGATACAGGTGCATTTAAAATTTGTCTTGTATCACTAATATGTATTAGGTAAGATAATTAAGAAAACCTGTTTTACCCGTTTTTCTCTTTTTTAGCTCTAAATCCAAAAATTAGTAGATTTACAAAGGCAAAAACACATCTACTGTCAAAATTTCATGATTCTAGGTTCAGCCGTTTGGGCTGTGCGATGATAAATGAGTCAGTCAGTAACGCTACTCTTTTATACATATGTACATATATATAGATTATCGAAACATTGCATTCGGAAATATCATTTGTTGTAACCAGATTTAGAACCGAAAATTTTGATTTATGCGGATCTAGCGGCAAATGAGCATTATTTTAGGACTGCTGCATAAAAAATTGGTAGATGGTTATAAAGATATCAATATTTATTTTAATATAATAACTATTTATTCATTCAATTAATCATAAATATATATCTACCTATCATAAATATCTATCTATTTTAATTTCAATATTGATGTTTGACTGCTTAACCACAAATTTTACATTATTCTAAAGAAATCTAATTGCGATGAGCAGGTCTAATATTTACATATACCTAAGGAGACCACAAGTGTAAGGAGTATAAGTATTTTATAAATATGTAAATTGCATTTAAATGAAACTGGGGACTTGGAATTATACATCGCAAATTGTGACAGTGAATAATAAATATACTTAATTTTTAAAATTAAATGTTGTTATTTGGAAAATATTAAATTAGTATAAAAAGCCAGTGATGAGTGAAAACAATTTTATAAATTTGAAATCCCAAGAGAGATTTGTTTGTTTTTAATATTTAATAAAATTAAATATTTTTTAACACAACGTTTAAATTGTTGGGGCTTTTTGTGCTAAGTCGAAGGGGCTATTGGTTACTGTTACTCTGGTTAAGTCTGTTTAGTAAATTTATTTAGCATAATATATGATATTGTTATGTAAGTCAATTAAGAGTGATAACTTTTTTAGTTCATCAAAAGTTGTAATAAATTTTTTATACAGTGTTGCCTGAACATTTTTTGAAAATTCTTATTTTGTTTAAAAAATTTCTACGATGAGATGTAAATAAAATAAAAATTCTACGACTTAAAATATTGAATTATAAATTTTTGACAAAATAAAAAAAACTACTAAAAGGGAATTTTCTCTTCATTTGTCAACACTGCCTACATAATATATACACATGCAACCATTTAATTGTTATTTAAATTATTAAAATTAGAAATAGAAATTTCCATAAATTATTTTTATTTGTAATTCAATTGTACGTATAATTTTTAAAAAGAAATATAAAGTAATTCATTCTTCAATAGCAAAGGACTCAGTAATATAAGTCTATTATGTTTATGTCCATATTTTTCAATTGCCTTAAATAAACTTTTCCTGGTGATATTCAAACTAGGTTAGATGATAGGAGGATGTATCTATCTATCTTCTATCTATATATATAAAAATGGAGGTGTGTTTGTTTGTATGTTTGAACGTTATAGACTACTAAGCGGCTGAACCGATTTTATTCAAATTTTCACAGCGTATTCTTGTATGTCTGGAATAGGTAATAGGCTACTTTTTATTTTGAAATTCCAAGTGGGCGAGGAGCCCATATTAAGAAAATATTAAATGCGTATATTTTATATAATATAACAGTTAGGGTCCTCAAATTTTGTCGGAGCAACTTTAGTGTCAATATAATTATTTAGGACAACAAGTAGGCGGACTAGCATTAGGGGGCGTGGCACCTCACATATAAATTAAATACAAAAATATGTTTATGTTGGAAACTATTACAGTTAGAATCTTCAAATCTTGCACGAATAACTTTAACATCTTTGGAACTTAATTCGTCAAATTTCGCACGAAGAACTTAAATATTCATCTGAACATTTTGGAAAGCGGACTTTTATCTAGGGGGTCTTGAAGCCCCCATATGAATCAAATAGACAAATTCGTATATCTGAGAAACTATTAGAGCTAGAATCTTTAAATTTTACATGAAAAACTTTGAAATTTATGTGAATATTTAGAGCATAACGGGCGGACTTTCAATGGGGAACTTGGCACCTCCTAGAATCTTCAAATTTTACATGAAGAACTTTGAAATTCATGTGAACAATTAGAGCATAACGGGCGGGCTTTCAATGGGAGGCTTGGCACAACATATATAAATTAAATACAAAATTTCGTGCATCTTGGAAACTCTTATATTATTCAAATTTTTTTAGATAGATAAAAATTGGCGATAGATAGAAACTGGCGAATTTGCAATAATTTGCTTGACATCTCTCATATGTAACATATTATAAATCTGGAAAACTATTGTAGTTAGAATCTTCAAAATCGTTTGGTTTTATTTATACATATTCCTTTTAGGGTAGCAAAGCACACTGGGTATAGCTAGTAATGCATAAAATCCGAAGTAAAACACCTAGGCCACTATATTCAAACTAAATGCACAAAATTGTTTCACTGTCTTATAAAAGATACCATTTAGTTGCCATTAATTAGTCTTTAAACAAGAACTAAGTTCGAAAGGTATACAATAAATTGGGTTGTTTCCTCTAGAGTTGTTACAATTTTAAAATATCTACCAAATAAAAATGTATTAGCTAGTATTTAAAATCAACTTTCTTCCTACCAAAACATTCCTTTAAAAGTCTGTTATTCCCTTTACGCAAGACAACAAAATATTTTAAATTTGTATAAAATTCTAATTATAATACTGTCACGTTTTGTAAACGCAATGTTTTTGTGATGAAACTAACTATAGAATTTAAATTTAAAAACAATTAAAAAAAATTTAATTTAAAAAATGGTAAATAATAAATATGATTATTTAAAATAGACAAAGAAAATTATAAATCACATAAATAATGCTGTATAATTTATAGCAAAAATTATAAACGTAAATTGCACATACAATTTAAACTAAAAACATTTTTAAAAATCATTAAATTACATAAGTTGTCATAAACTTTAACACTCAAACAATAAGCATTTATTTAACTGGTATTTGTTTGGTTACGTATGTGTAATATTTGATTTGTTGTCAGAAATCATATAAATCATACGTCTTTATGTAATCAATTAAGGTTTAACCTTATTAAGCCCTTAATATTAGGAGGGCAGACAATTTAAAAATTACTGATTAAAAAATTTTTTACAACATTGATAATTTTATTTTCACTCTGTATTAAGAGAACCGGTCTAATAAAAATGTGTTTCTAATTTTAAACTAAGTAACTAATATTTAATAATATACATATAAAATATAAAAAATTTATAAAAACGACAAACCTATAACGACGATATCATGACAATAACTATATAAACACTGTTTTATCTACTTATTACGTTGGTTTTACTTACCCATTTTGTAGGATTTTAGTTTAGTGTTATTTTGTTACTTCAAATCTGACCTCCAAAACCGAAAAGAAGGAAATCTGTAAAAGAGAAAAAAAAAAACATAAGATATAAATTTGTTACTTTTCCTAAGGCTTAGTTTTCTTGTTATTCAAAATGTTTGTTTTCAAATCAAAATCTATAGTCAAAGTTTATTTACATACAAATAAACCAGAATCAACAAATATTGACAAAAATATAAGAAGATTTTTATAATAAAAAAGAAGTTAAAAAAACATATTTTCATATTCTTTGGATTGGGGATTTAGATATTTGTTCTTCCTTAAGTTGTAATATTAGGGGACGATGAAATATATTTGTTCTCACTATAATTGATAGGGATTATTTATAAGTATTTGGAAAGTAAAGTTACTATATTTATGAAATGTAAATAGTAAAATTTTAGTATTAGTAGTATTACAAATAATTGGGTAAAAACTATATTATTTTTACCTCTGGTTAAGAATTGTAGAAAATGACACAGTTACTTTAGAAAATGTAAACGTAATAAATTGAGTATTATAGTCATAGTCTAGTCATAGTCTAGTCATAGTCTAGTCATAGTCTAGTCATAGTCTAGTCATAGTCTAGTCATAGTCTAGTCATAGTCTAGTCATAGTCTAGTCATAGTCTAGTCATAGTCTAGTCATAGTCTAGTCATAGTCTAGTCATAGTCTAGTCATAGTCTAGTCATAGTCTAGTCATAGTCTAGTCATAGTCTAGTCATAGTCTAGTCTAGTCATAGTCTAGTCATAGTCTAGTCATAGTCTAGTCATAGTCTAGTCATAGTCTAGTCATAGTCTAGTCATAGTCTAGTCATAGTCTAGTCATAGTCTAGTCATAGTCTAGTCATAGTCTAGTCATAGTCTAGTCATAGTCTAGTCATAGTCTAGTCATAGTCTAGTCATAGTCTAGTCATAGTCTAGTCATAGTCTAGTCATAGTCTAGTCATAGTCTAGTCATAGTCTAGTCATAGTCTAGTCATAGTCTAGTCATAGTCTAGTCATAGTCTAGTCATAGTCTAGTCATAGTCTAGTCATAGTCTAGTCATAGTCTAGTCATAGTCTAGTCATAGTCTAGTCATAGTCTAGTCATAGTCTAGTCATAGTCTAGTCATAGTCTAGTCATAGTCTAGTCATAGTCTAGTCATAGTCTAGTCATAGTCTAGTCATAGTCTAGTCATAGTCTAGTCATAGTCTAGTCATAGTCTAGTCATAGTCTAGTCATAGTCTAGTCATAGTCTAGTCATAGTCTAGTCATAGTCTAGTCTATAGTCTAGTCTATAGTCTAGTCTATAGTCTAGTCTATAGTCTAGTCTATAGTCTAGTCTATAGTCTAGTCTATAGTCTAGTCTATAGTCTAGTCTATGGTCTAGTCATAGTCTAGTCAATAGTCTAGTCTATAGTCTAGTCTATAGTCTAGTCTATAGTCTAGTCTATAGTCTAGTCTATAGTCTAGTCTAGTCTATAGTCTAGTCTATAGTCTAGTCTATAGTCTAGTCTATAGTCTAGTCTATAGTCTAGTCTATAGCCTAGTCTATAGCCTAGTCTATAGTCTAGTCTATAGTCTAGTCTATAGTCTAGTCTATAGTCTAGTCTATAGTCTAGTCTATAGTCTAGTCTATAGTCTAGTCTATAGTCTAGTCTATAGTCTAGTCTATAGTCTAGTCTATAGTCTAGTCTATAGACTAGACTATATAGTATATAGTCTATAGACTAGACTAGACTATAGACTAGACTATAGACTAGACTATAGACTAGACTATAGACTAGACTATAGACTAGACTATAGACTAGACTATAGACTAGACTAGACTAGACTAGACTAGACTAGACTAGACTAGACTAGACTAGACTATAGACTAGACTATAGACTAGACTAGACTAGACTAGACTAGACTAGACTAGACTAGACTAGACTAGACTAGACTAGACTAGACTAGACTAGACTAGACTAGACTAGACTATAGACTAGACTATAGACTAGACTATAGACTAGACTATAGACTAGACTATAGACTAGACTATAGACTAGACTATAGACTAGACTATAGACTAGACTATAGACTAGACTATAGACTAGACTATAGACTAGACTATAGACTAGACTATACTATAGACTAGACTATAGACTAGACTATAGACTAGACTATAGACTAGACTATAGACTAGACTATAGACTAGACTATAGACTAGACTATAGACTAGACTATAGACTAGACTATAGACTAGACTATAGACTAGACTATAGACTAGACTATAGACTAGACTATAGACTAGACTATAGACTAGACTATAGACTAGACTATAGACTAGACTATAGACTAGACTATAGACTAGACTATAGACTAGACTATAGACTAGACTATAGACTAGACTATAGACTAGACTATAGACTAGACTATAGACTAGACTATAGACTAGACTATAGACTAGACTATAGACTAGACTATAGACTAGACTATAGACTAGACTATAGACTAGACTATAGACTAGACTATAGACTAGACTATAGACTAGACTATAGACTAGACTATAGACTAGACTATAGACTAGACTATAGACTAGACTATAGACTAGACTATAGACTAGACTATAGACTAGACTATAGACTAGACTATAGACTATACTATAGACTAGACTATAGACTAGACTATAGACTAGACTATAGAAATAGGATTTATTCATAATAATACAAATTTTGCCCAACAAACCTTGTGATTGTGGGAAAGAATCGTTTTATTATTATCTATTTATTTAAATACATACATATTCAAAACTTTAGAAATATATGATATTAAGTTCTTATCCAATAATAGCTAAAAGACATTTTAAAACGTGTAAACTAAATTTAAAGATTTTTTTTTAAACTTAGATTTTCAGCTAGAATAATCAAAGAAGAAACTTTTCATTAATATAACTGTCAAAAATGACGAGTTCTCACTTTTTGTTTTTATTTGAAAACTTAATAATAAATTTAATTTAATTTTGATAAACAAAAAGAAAATGTTCTTGTCCCATAATTTTCCATTTTCTTTTTCTAATATCCTGTTATAAAAGAACTTGTTTATTGTTTGTATTTTTGTTTCTAAAGAACCCTTCATTAAAACATCCATTGGATTCTTGACTCGTTAAGTGTAAAAATAAACAAAAAATCATTTGTATAAGAAACATAAACAACAACAACAACAATAAAAATTTACTGGCATCTATAAGAAAATCAACAAGTGTTAAAATACATAAATTAAAAAAATACAAAGTAAGAAAAATATTTAGAAAATGTTTTAAACTTATACACGATTATTTTTCTTTTCTATATTTCAGCATACATTTAAAATGTAAATTTCTAACCCAAAAGGAAAAAAAAATGAAAATTGTCTCCAGTCTTTGGAGATTGTGGAAAAGTGCTGCTAATAAAAATTTACATTTTCTTATTTTGTTGTTTATTTCTTTAACTGGCATTGTTTATGTAGATAAAAAATTTCTAAATAAATTATCACACAACTTTCAGTTTTTCTGTTTTATTCCAAACACTCGTAATGTCATGTTAATGATGTTTTCTTTGCGTATTTTTTATTTATTATAAGAAAGTCTTGAAAGATATGAAAGACTAGATGACTGGCTGTTACATTTACTGAATCACTAGATGTCTGACTGCATGACTTAAAAGAAGTATATGTTTTTTTTTTAGTTTTTAAGGCTGCTGAATATAAATTGTAGCCTTTTTGTGTTGATTTCCATTAGCTTCCATTTTGTTTTGTATTCTAACTTTTTCATACATAAATAAGATTTAAAGTTAAAAATTCATATTTTAAAAATAGGAGTTAAATCATAATGTTGTTAGCGGAAAATTTTTAAAACAAATAAATTTTATTCAATTAAACTTTAATTTATCTGCTCTAGCAAAAAAATTAACATTATCAAATTATTTAACAATAACTGGTGATAATATCATTTAGTCCATGAACAATCTCAAGAGTTTTGCTTTCAAGTTAAGTTTTTGTCCAGCAGATAGCGCCCTGGTTTCAGATTTGGACGATTGTTTTAAAACAGTAAACGGGATGTTTTATTATTTGCTATTTAAATTGAAATAAAATTAATGTTCCTTAAAATTCTTAATGCTAACAGCAATTTTACTTATGAGGGTCAATTTATTCGTTCAATTGTATTGAAGATGCTTCTTGGTGACTTCCGCGATAAAAAATGCTTGCTGTTATTTAATTCATTTAAAACTCACACCAAACAGTGTACATGTGTTTAGATGATGTAAACTGTTAAAGCTTATCATTCAAATGTTTATACTAATGAAAATAAAAAACGCCTACATTTCGATTATTTGCTTCAAGTCTGACATAACTCAAAATTTAGGTTTTTTAACTACAAAAATTACATCATAGTGGGAAGGGTATTATGCGTTTGTGCTAGTGGCACCGATCGACTCAGAATAACTTTCTGGATCGATTACGACATGTCCGTCCACCCGTCTGTCTATTCGCCCAGCTGGCTGTCCATGTCAACCTTGTGTCTAAGCTACAGCCCGCAATTTCACAATATTTTTATGAAACGACAAATTCTATTGAAAATGGTTGAAATCGGTCCACTATTATACCGGGCCCCATCCAACCAGACCTTCCGACTTGTGCTTTTAGCTCATAAATACAACAAATATTGTAGTATCTCTTTAGAAATCGTCACAACACAGATTTATATAAGCATTAACACAGTTTTGAGTTATATCAGTCTTATACTAAATAATCGATTAGTTTATAAATTACTCTATATTCAATTTAAAAACACTTGCTCTAAAAGCACACAGCAGTCAACAAGTCTCGGATTAAAAAAACAAAAGAAAAAAATGTTTTTGCAAATACTTTTCATCTTAATCATCATAGAAGGTATATCATTATTATTTAGTGCAAAAATATTATACAAAGAATTTTATTACCTTAATCCTTTTTACTAGGAATACTTGCACAAAATTGTCAATTAAATGCTGCTTTCATGGATAAAAAATGGATTTATGCCACCAAACCTACAGCGAA